CTCTAAAACAAAATGATTTACTGTGCTGGCACTGCAGATAAGCGAGTCAGAATTGTGGTAAGATCTTATATCAGTAACCGTATCACGATGTCCGTCCAAAGTCTAAATTGAAAAAAAAAAAAAAAATGTTAGAGTAACTCTGTAAAAAGGTATTAACACACAAGTCAGTAGTTTTAGTAATTTTACCTTATGCAATGTGAAATTGTGAGAATTAATGACTCTTATTACGTGTCCAACACCTCCAGCAAGGATATAAAAATCATTTCTAACTTTTGTTTTTCCATTTCTAACACGTTTGTGATATACCCATCCCCAGCATAGAACACGAAATGATTCGTTCGCCTGTTTCAATCAAAACATAAAAGTAAATAAATATTATCATATTAGGTATCAAACTAAATACAGTATAAACAAATAAATAACTTACTGCTTCATCCGAATAAAATTTATTAGGGTCACAGTCCACCTCGAACGACTTTGGATGAACGGAAAAACCATAAACCCTTGCCGAACCAGCGAGAGCAAAGTTATGGTTCTCAGTATTAGCCAGAAATGAGTTATACGCAACTGCGCTTATACCAACTATTTGAGGGAGTTGGTAGCGTTCATATACAGGAGGAATATTATTGTTGACCATGACTCTTTTCTGCACCAAAATAAGAAACATAATAAGTCATAAATTAGCAGGAAGAAACTAAAAAAAGAAATCCTTAAATTCATAGCTTCTGATTTGTGTAACTAAAACAAATTTGAAACCAATTAATCTTCAATTTGAACTCATAATTAAAACCAATTAATCTTCTGATTTGTGTAACTAAAGTCTAATTAACCGGCGGTTTACTGCAACAAAAATTTCATAATTAAGCGCAGTCAAAGCCAATGCAACAAGACTATTTGGGCTTAAAAAAGAAATCCCTTCTTGAAAGAACAAAACAGAGGCAATTATTTCGATTGCTTTTGCTTTTGAGACAAAAGCACGGAGATTTCTCCGAGACAAAAGAGCTCGATGACTCCGTTCCAGAGAAAAGATTCTACACCACCAGAAGAAAGGCGGTCGGAATCCCTTCCCTGTTCAAAGATCGGCGGGTGCCGATTTAAATAATCGTTTAAATTCTTACTTTGTCGAGGCCCAAGACTTCGGATGGCCCAAGACTTATACTCCAAGTTGGATGGATGAACAGGGGGTCATAATTTATAAGAAGAATGTCCCCCTGTTTTTCTAACTCTTTTTCGATGTGGGACTTTTGTATGTTGTAAAAATTATCAAACTTATTTTAATTACCGAATGTACCCCTTCGTGTGCTCCTTTTTATTTTGTTTGGTCCCTTGTTAATCAATTTGTTTACCAATAGAACCTCTAGATTATAAAATTGACTGTAAGCTATCAAGTTTTTTTCAGAATTAGAAAACTAAGACTTCTCTTGAAACTCTGCAGGTCCCCAGCTTTAACGTTGAACTCTTGGATCCAATGTACCAAGCCAGGTGATTGTCATTAACTAACATTTCTGTCTCTTTCGATCTCGTTACATAACTTGACTGTTTGTTCCTTCTTGCCTTGAGATCGCAGAAGGCTGCTGTAGAATTCCTCTGGAATGGTGCACAACAATCCGGTGAGTCGGAAGATTCAATAACGGAAGCTATTCTGGGTTTCTCCAAGAATGAATTCGCATACTGGGAATCGAATTTGCTCTGGTCGTTGAAAAAATTTAACGATTTAAATAAGCTTCTAGTTCTATGGGATATGGTAGCTGCAATGTTGGCGTTCAAGCAATCAATGCCAGAGTTTGTTGAATTGGTATTAACCAAATGGCTCTCTGTGTCATACCTTGGATTTCATGATGATATCCCCATGGAAGATCTTGTGCCGAAGATCTCCAAACGCTTCTCTACTGTTCCTTACAGGCTATTACTTACACATTCTCAATGTAATCTCCAGACGTGTAATGTTATCAGAGCTCAAAAGGGAGGAAATCAACAGAAAACTGCAAGGTCAAAGAATGAACAATGAAGAAGAGATTGATCTGTGGCTCAAACTGCTTGAGGAAAGTAAAAGAGAACTCCGAGAGAGACTGATTGGTCTCAGTTTCTCGGCTTATCTAAGCGCTGAGTCATCTCCAGGTACTGTTTTCTCTTCCACTGGGAATTGGCGTCCAACTGGATTGGCTCAGTTGCAACAGTGGGTTGAGGTAAATCACGATATTGTCTCTCGTCAGCTCGAAACACTTTCCGCGCAAGTAAAATCTAGTCTAACAAGGTACTTGGGTAAACATGTATGCTTCTTGCTTTTGTAATAGAGAGCCTAGAATGTTTCAGATTCATAACTTCTATGTTTCTAATTCATCAGATCAAGTAACAGCACAGAAANCGCATTAGAGGAAGAGAAATGCCCNTATTGCGCCGCGCCTGTCCATTTCCACTCANCAGAAGAAGNTTTTTGNCAATCTCCGCACCAAAACAAGAAGAAGAGCAAAGACAAACAGAGATGTGATCAAAGTCACGAGCTTGAGAGGTGTTGTGTCTCAATGCAAGTATGTCCACCAACTCCTTTATGGTTCTGCAAATGCTGCAGCCGAATGACTTTAGAACTCGCTCCAGAGACCTTATTTGCATTGCCTTCGTTCCCGAGTGATCTCAAATCGCTTACGGAATCTTACTTTAGCAATGTTGCCACAAAACCATTCTGCCTCTTCTGTGGAATTCTCTTGCAGAGAAAGCAGCCAGAGTTTCTGCTCTCTGCTTCACCTGTGTGATTACTTCATGGTTATCTATAACTTATAAGGAGGCAAAAAGATTAAGTAGATAATGTATTTTATTGTTTGTGTAATCTTATATTTTACATATTACACATTTAAGATGGTGAATCTGATCACCAATCTTGTACCACATACACTAACCAAAAGTTGGTAATGGCACAGTGGCAAGAAGACCTTGCTGAGTAGTTGAATGTCCCCAAGATTTTGATGGACTAACAATATTTAATCAAAACAAAAACATAACTAAGTTTGGCTTGGTATCTTTAATTACTGAGCTTCCGTCCTATACCGCTTAAGAAATCTGAGTGATGTAGAAAGTCTCGAAAGAGTTACACTTGCATGTATTTACCCACATGAAGAAAACAAAGTAGCTAGCAATGTCCTTACTGGTCTCGATTCTGCCTTGTGCAACTTCTTCCATCTTGTTGACCTAATAAACTAGACTTCTGTAATCATGACCACCAAATCTTATTAGTGGAGTGCAGCGGAAGATTAATATCGTCCTTGGACCGTTTATAAAGGTTCAAAAGGATATATACGGCGACAAAATAAACCTAACACTCACTCACTCTCTCTCTCGGGGATTGAGAGGTGAGGTTTTCTATTGGCTCTCTCTCTTACATAGGGTTTCAAAAGTTGTCAGTCTACTCCAAGCCCTTTGCACATCGGCGAAGGGGTTTTAGGTTTTTTTATTACCAATTGTAAAATTACCAATTTGCCCTTATGAGCTCGATGCGTCTGGCCCAATTCAGAAATTAAATTACAATTCTTTAACTTTAATAATTTTCTG